GTTGAACCTATTTGACTTATGATGAAAAAAAAAACCATAGAAAACATTGATGTTTGAGACAATTTTGAGATATTTGATATAGATGAACCATCACTGAATTTTTATGTCATATGGCATTGTGATTACACTAAAAGTCCTTAGTTTTTAGTGAATATATTGAAATAAAAATGAAATTATGAAATCATGGAATTTGTTTCAAGATGATATAAGAAAAGAAAGCCATTAGTGGTATGGTTGAAATAAGACTGGCATAACTTGAAAATTATCAGCACTGTTGTGTCGGATATATGGAGAGGTTTATCGTATCATTCTTGTCTACTGTTGAATATATTTAAAATTTTATTTAAAATCGAAAAGAAACCAAATACTATTTGACAATTATTATGTTATCAAGAATCTTATGGAAACTAAAAATTTACTTTTGATCATAATGATTTAAATTCCTCCAACCCCAAACCAAGAGACTTCATCATCATCAGCTGGAAGAAACAGATTCCTAACCCAGCTAGATTCCTAAGTGCAGAACAATGCTGACAACCAGAAACCAACTGGGAAAGGGTTTTTCCCAAACAGCACCTTTAATAAGTTTTTCTAAACCTCAGTAAAGAAAGCACAAGAATCAAGAAAAAACTCTGATTCTAGATTTTTTTTTACCCTGATAATTTGTGGTAGGTTTCTTTATTTTTTGAATATAAAGTGACAGAAATAATTTGCCATTAGAAAAGAGAAAGAATCTTTGATTATTTACAGTTTTTATACATCACAAAGTTTTTCTTGTTTTTATGTTGTCTTTTTTTTTTTAATTCATTTTAATTTTTTGTTCCTGCATCATTTGAACAAGTCCAAACTGGAAATCTATACAGCTCACAAAAAAGCCCTCCACCCAAAAGACCCCCCACCCCCACCCGATCCCAATGAGAAACAAGATAAATCAAAAGAATGAAATCAACTTACTTTTCTTTTTTTTTTTTTTAAAGGTAAGTCATTTGCTTATATATATACTTGTAAGTATTTTTTTTTTCAGGTTCAAACACCAAAATCCAAGAGAGAAAGGAAAAAAATAAAAAGACCCAGTCATCCGCCCCTCCCCCCACTCCAGAATCTCAATTGATCCCTACATGTCCGAAATAAGAAATAGATATTTACAGAAAACAAAAACAAAACAAAACAAACAAACAAACAAAAAGAGAACTTGGAGGTGGATGGGCTGGGGATCTGAGAGTCAAGAGGGAGGAGAGCCGGGCCCCAGGGAGGAGGGTGGGATCTGGGCCTCACAGAGTGGAGGCAAGCCTGAGTCGTCCTTGCCTTCCCTGGGCAGGGCACACCACACCAGGAAAGCTGTGACCATTTCACCTCCGCCATGTGACTTTGAGAGGGTGCGGCTCTGCAATTGCAACCCGACCCATGGTGGAGGCATATTTCATATCATCATCACCCCCTCACACTCTCTTTCTCTCTCTCTCTCTCTCTCTCACGCACACACGCACAACCACACACATGTGCATCGTTCGTTGTGGCTAAGTGTAACTGTGACACTGTTGGAGCACGGGCTCCTGTCAAGTACAGGAGAAGAAATTTGCCCTAGGGACTAGAGCCCAGTGCCCTCTTCTTGGATCACCTTTGTGACCTGCCAGCTACCTTCCTTGTCCTACTTCCACAAGCATCAGGACTACTGATGAATGCTGGGGTGGCTGTTGGGAAACAACACTCCTACGAAATTCCCTCTTCTCCAGCAGTTTTATCCACTACTTTTCACGGATTTCCTTAACAACACAACTGCACCCAATCGACCAGGCATCAGAGTCGGCCTGAAGCAGGGGGAATTTGAGGCAAAGTTTTCTGCTCACCTGGGAAATGTATTTCCTCAGGCCAGAAAGCAAATAGAGGTCCTGACGAAACCATCTCTGGCTTCCTTTGCTTCCCTTTTCCTTCCTAAATGGAGTTGTATGCAGTGCATAAAGCCTGTTGTAAGCCCTGGCGTTGGTTTTAATACGCTTCCAACACAAGAACTCAGACACAGCATTAGATGAGGTTGGATGAACACCAACTAATCTTTTGGGGAAAATTCCAGGCAGGACATGACCGAGCCGAAGCATTTACTTTCACTGGTTGACAGAGACTGAGCCAATGGTAGCAGCAGCCCCTGTGATCTCATTCAGGCCCTGCTCGGCATTCCAAGGGGTTGGGAGAACTAGTCCACTAGAAATGGTTGAACAGCTTCTGTCCATTTTCAAATTATATCTTTTTTAAGGGCACAGGAAATAAAATAGAATCAACTTATCATATGGGTCAGAGATATGTGGAATGCTTCTGGGGAGAGGTTGTAGTTTGTTTTTGCTAAATAAATGCCTACACCGTGGATTTTTTTTTTCACTTTGTATATTACCCCCAAATGCTCACTTGTTCCTTTTTCATGTAGCTCTCCATTCAAAATCCTTTCTTTCTTAACCCTTTCCTGATCTTCTCTCCCCCAAGGATTTTAAAGACTCCTAATCATTTCCTCATGTTCCGGGTCCTCTCAGTTCACAAAGAAAAATACTAAACAAAAATGATCGGTCAGAGGAAACTCTCATTTGGCAAAACTGGGCAGAGGCAGAGATGCTTCCGATCCTTTAGGTTATTTTTAAAAGATGAGCAACGAATAAGGTAAGTAAGAACAAAGAATTATGATCCCCCCAAGGGGACTAACTTATTGGAAGCCCTTAAAACAGAAAAGATAAGATTTACTTTTGAAAATGTGTTCTTTCCAGGGTCAACAGTCAAAAATGAACCTCAATCCAGGACTACGTTTAAAGACATCTATAAAAATATGTGGTGACCTATCTCAAGATGGCAGTGGAAGTTAAATAAAACAAAAGTCAGACTGAAGGAGAGGCCGTCCTGCTCCACGTGCGGCTGGCAAGGCCCTGCCCCAGCACTTGCAGCCTCACCGACCTCATCTGACAAAGACCACAAATGCCAGCCCCAAATACCTGAAATCCTTGCAGAGGACAGTCACCATGAGAAGCCCAGGACTCCTGAATATTCTTATTACTCAGATTTTCATCCCCAGCGAACACAGTACACATCCCATCTAAGCTCATTTCCCATCCCTCCTTAACTCCCCCAGTCCTCCCTGGGACCCCATGATCTGCCACCAGTTGCACACCCTGACAGTTTCTTTGTCTCGCTCTCAGTGAAATTTGGCTCTTCCTTCCGAGCCCAGCAGCCCCCTCCAGCAGCCGGGGTTTTCTCTAATGCCATTGGGCCTGGTGGTGGAAGAGAAGCCTTTCTTGCTGGTCTTTGCTATTTTCAGGACATCCTTCCTTTCTCTTCACAATAAAATCCAGCTTGCAGCACATCAGAAGATAGTAGCTGTTCTCCTTACTTGAAGCAATGATTGAAATTGTCTTGAACTGCCATCCCTAATTCCTGACATCCAATGCAATCCGACATACCATTCAACAAAATGTTGACTTATATAAGCATCCATTCCCATGTCCTGACTTCTCAGGTCCTTGACCCTTGCTTCCTCATAACCTTGTCCTTCCTTAACTCAGACCACCATTCCCACCCCAGACACTTCATTCTCAGTAACATTTCACTATGGGTGATCACAAACCCCCCATAATCTCAACTCCAATTAGCCAGACCGCTGATCTGTATCCTGATTTCTAGATGACTCCTTCTGGGACCCTGACTCAGTAAGCCTTGTCTGTATTTCAATCCCATGCTCTTCATTATTGGTCATTCTCTAGAAATTCTCCTTTTCCTCCATACCCAGCTTCGATCCCATGGCTTATCATTATAATCACTACATGGTAGTTGCCCTTCACTCCACATTGCTTGCTTCTTTCATGGCATTTGTCTGATTAAACCCTGACCCAGCTTAAATCCAACTCACCCCATTCTTTGAGCTGTTGAATGTCACTCGAGAAAATTTTGCAAATTTGCTTAAACTCATGACCACAAGACACGTAAGTCTTCAGCACTCCTAGTGTACCTCCTACATGTTGTCATCCCTCCATTCTTCTTGCTGCATGGCTTTACCATTAATTCATGGTGGCTCTTTCCCTATCCTCCAATACCCATTCCACAATACTCACTCTTGGCTGCTGAACTCCCTTTGTATTTCTCTGAAAAATCATCAGTCAGAAAAGACATACCACCATCATCACATTATCCATCCACTTCCTTCTGTGCCTAAATACAGCTTCTCTCCTATTTCTGTAAAACACCTAGGTAGGCTCCTAGAGCCAAACCCTCCATTTGTGCTTTGGATCCCATCCCTTTTCTCTCATCAAAGACAATACTACAATTGTCCCTTCTTCCCAAGCCTCATTCATTTTCCCTCTCTACTGGGTCATTCTGGTCTGAATAAAATGGGCTATTCCTCTCATATTAAAAAGCCCTCCATGAACCCCACATCCTCACCTATCTACTGCTATTTCTATGTCTTCTTTAGAGAAGAATTCCTAAGAGTTGTTTATTTATGTGTCTCCACTTCCTCTCTTCCCACTCTTTTCTGAACCCACGCTCATCCATTCTTTAGTCCTCCCCAGTTCACTGAAACACTTTTCCTGGTCACCTGTGGAGTAAGGTCCAAGTTTCCAGAGAATCTTCTTCACTCAAGGGTAGCAGTTGACTTGCCCCTGACCACTTCTCCCAGTACTACTGCCTCACCTCCTGGGCCTCTGATTGTTCCCCAGGGCTCAGTCCAGGGAACTTTATTCTATCTGTACTCACTTTGCAAAGTGGTCTCATGTCTTCAAAGGCCTACAAGTTCCAAAAACATATCTTTAAGTTCTACCTCCTCCTTGAACTTCAGCCAGATGTATCCAATTGCCTAACTGGCATTTCCACCTAAATGTCTGACAGACTTCTTAAGCTTACTATAAAGATGTATTTATGTGGGTTTTGGTCTGTTTCCTCTCATCAAAAATAAACTTCAGGGGGCATGAACCTCATGTATGTTCACTCTTGTATCCAAGGACCTAGAATGACTTAGTATGTTTTTTTTTCACTTAATTAATATCCATGCATGGATAAGCCATCTTTCAAAAAATGTTCTGAAACTGCAGCCTTCATCTCCCCCAAATAAGAGTTCTAGTGAGTGGATGTATGTGTGTTGGGAGGTGGGGGGTGGACAAACACACTAACAAAAAATAAAGAAAAATAAAATAAAAACCCTGGGTATTTATTCTTTAACCAAATTTCTAAGTGGTAAATACAGAGCTCACTTTCCACGCTTCTTTTCAGATGTGAGAATTTTTCTTGGGTTTATTACCACCTTTTAATCAATCCCTCTTCTCCACTGTTGCCTTCTCCCAAATCCCTTATGGCTACAGTAGAATTGATGGACTTTAAATATTTGGGAGGATTACTTAATGTTTTCGCTTTCCTAGTTTGTTCAGAAAATATGATCTACCACCCTTCAATGATATTCTATGGCTTAAAAGATCATGTCAGAGTCAATAAATTCCATGTTAATATGAATAAAACCAGGATTAAATCAATCTGTAATGTCTATTTCTAATCAAATCTACCAATTTCCTTTTCTGAAGTAAACAGTAATCAGATTAGAAACCTGGTGTTTTCACTGGGGATGGGAAGATATAATTTTATTTAAAAGATTTTCTCTTTCAGAGGTGACCTAATTTTGTGATTCACAATCATTCCAAAATTGAAAAAAAAAATTCAGCTAACTCTATTCCCCTGATATACTCTGCTCTCCTCAGTGCTCTTTGGCTTCTCAAATTAAGTAAATGTAATCACAACAAGGATGAGTTTCTTCTACTCGGGATGGTCTTGACTGGAGAATGGAAATCATGAGAGGAGCTGCCCTGCAGGTTTGTAGATGAGTTTTTGAAGAGTCAAGGTGCATGGCTTATCCATGTCTTTCTGGAAGAAAGCCGATGCCTCTTCCTAAAGTCAGTCTGTCACCCTTTCTGAGCAATCAAGGGCAGCACGGCTTCTCCTCCTGTCAGAGCACAGAGGAGATTGGCAAACTCAACTCCTCAGGAATCATCGGAGCATCTGGAGGGGGGCACCATCTTCTCACCTGAGACTACTCTCTCCCTCTCTCCCCCCTTTCTTGCTTCTAGATTTTTCTCAGCTCAGTGAACAGCATGTTTCAGAACAAAGCTTTTTGTCTACTTCTCAATAAATCTGTTTCCCACTCCACTTTCTCTTTCTTATTACAATAGGACGTTAAAAAATAACGCGCAACAACTCGTTGACTGAGTTTTTAGAAACACTTGCCTCCTTGGAACCTAGGGCCAGGAAGAGCTAAGGATTGTATCATGTCACCAGCATGTTCAATCTAAAAACCACGCATCCTCCACAGATCTTGTGCCTTGAAACAATTCAAAAAGAGAGAGAGAAGAAAAAAAACAAGAAAAATCATAAATGCCTCCACACACACACAACAGGCATCTTACCAAAGCCCCTGAGCACTCTCACAGAGGTCGCTTAATATTCCAGAGCCTCTCCCTCTTTTCCAGTATAACTTCAAGGCTCTCAGCAGAGGGCACTCGCTTTCCTAGCACTTGACCTTGAGATGAAGCATCTGGGAACATTGTTTGCTTGCTTTCTTATCTTTATTTTTTTCCTTCTCTGTCTTTCCAAGTTAAAAAAAAAAAAAGAAATTATGATCAAGATAGTCCTTTAACGGTCTAATCATTTAGATAAAAAATTAAGAAATACATTCTTATTTTCCTTTTTCAGGACAAAAAGGCAGTGATTGGTGGTGGGAACCAAAACCATGTAGGGGAACCAAAATACTGCCAAGAGGCTGGGAAGTTAGGAAGAGTTTCCATGCAAGGGACCTGGAAGGCTGTTTTTCAACTGTAAAATCCACTTCACAATGGCTAAAAATAGACATTTTAGTCATTCTCTTTGTACAGCAATCATTCTTTCTGATAAGCACCAATCACTGAAATTCATGTTGTTGTCAGGAAAGTGGCTCAAAGAAGCTTTCTTTCTTTGATAGACAGTATCTCCAAAGACGACTGGGATTAAATGAAATGCACTGAGTCTACTCATCTTCATGAATTTCCACACCATATTTTGCCAGTAGGATGTTTGGTGATGACCAGATAGGTTAGTTTTCATGTGGCAAAGAAAATGAATAAACAAAGGAAAGCAGAAGACAATCCATACTGGCCAAAAAGATGAGAGTTTTGTTCTTGGTCTAATTTATCTCCCTGGGGGGAACAGAAACAGATCCAGTCCATCCAAGGTTGAACAGACGATGTTGCAGAGAATAATGATCCTATGGCTTGTTTCATTGAAGAAAAGATACTGTGAAAGGCCCCAACTTTCCTGATGAGGTTGGATGGTGTTAGGCATACACATTTTCCTAGGAGACCTCTCTGTGGCTCAGTGTTAAAACTCTGGGATAAGAATTCTTTTACCCATTTTTTAACCTCCACCAAAATATCTGGCTTCATCCAACAAACCTTACCCAAACAGAGCTCTACATTCTTTCATGTCAGCTACAGAAGGAAAGAGGCCAAGAAGAGTGCGAGCTGTCCAGGTGCCAGTGACCAAATCCATGATGTTGGAAAAATTCCCTTCTGCCCCAGAGTCAGTGGGAAAGAGTTGAAACCCTTGTTGTTGCTGCTGCTGCTTGGGAGAGTCCTAGGCTCTGAAATTAACTTTATCCTCATGTGCCTTTCCATAGGACACCTAAGTACCCTGGCCAACTACAATCTATACAAAATAGGAAGGCACACTGCTTTAAGTTTAGTGGCTTCAGTCTTGAGCAGGTATAGATTTTCTTGCTAAAACTTCCTCCATCACGCTTCCCTGAGCTGTATTGTCTGCAGCTGTGCTTGGGGATTTCCTTTTTCATTTCCACTTTAATATTTAATACTAAGCACAAGAGCTTTGTGGTTTCAATTAAATAATTCTCTGTTCATGCCCTTAGGGTCCCTATGATTCTTATTTTCCTCCAACCCCACAGTGAATATAGCTCTAGTTCAAGACAGGGAATGGTCATCTTAGGGGAATGAAATGCTCCAAATACTCATCAGCTCTTGTCCCTGTTACTTATCATCAAGGTGCATCATGATCCAGGTATCTGTAATGGCACTCATAAGAAAGTCACCACAGAATAAAGGTTGAATAGCCTCTGTCCCTCATTATTAGCTTACTATGATACTATCATGATTTCACGTTACTCATCAGGAGACAAAATGGCAGGAGAGAATGGATGTTTGTAATGGCTTGATTTTAAACTTTGAGCTTAAGGATGGTTCAGTTGCCCAGCCTCCTCATCCCCCATGCACAGAAACAAAAGTTACTTCCTCCTTCTGGCCATATTCTCTCCTGAAACCTGGCTCTGGGAATACATACACTGTAAAGTAGATGGTATAAAAGACTCCTTACTCAACCCATCTAAGGGCTTTTCCATCTTTCTTACTTCCTCCCTGTCTTTCCTCTGGGGACTGAGTGAAATGATTTTTTTTTAAGTCTACATTAAGCTAGGGTACTTCTTTAACTGTTATTGGTATAAGCAGAATGCTCTGTGCATAAACCAAAATCTCTTCGTGGCACAAAATAAAAAGACACTATCTCTTTGGGAAGATGGATTACTTCCTAAGCTTAATACCACCTATCAGTGAATAGGTGGGTCACAAGAGAAAGTAGATACAGGATCACCTGGACTAGAGAATTCACCATTACATGCTTAGAGAATTCACCATTACAATCATGAGGGCAAAATTAAGGTCTCACAAATATTCTCAGGAGATGTTCATTAGTCTTTGGAACATTCATGCCTCATTTCCTTGAGGATTCAGGCAGACAACAATTATTTATGGGTCTGAGGGATATATGTCTTCCCTTTGGGAATGCATTGAATGGGACCTCCTTATTCTTCTACTTATGTTTTCAAAACCTCATGCTTTACCTTGGAATCAAGCTTGCCATGTTTGAACTTGACTAAATTAGAGGGAGAGACACAGAAGGAGATTTTAAGAGGCTCACCCTTGAGGTTACCTTCCTCACTGTGGGCTGACCCAAACCACTGACACCTTGAGAGCATCAGAACTGCCCTGGACACATTCTTGAAGGCTCCCTGTCCCGTGTAATGCTTTGCAAGAAATCCTCTGGCTCAGATTTTTCTTGAGCTTTTTATTTGGGTGGTTTACATGCTACAAAATTTTTTGGATAATAAAAAAAAATTTACAATTCCTTACTCCACAAAATTCAAATATTTTTAATTTGATCTTCAACTTGTCCTCACTACAGAAAGTTTTCTACCCCTTTCTGCTTTTCAAATCCTTGCTCTGCTCTTGACCCTTTCAACTGGTTTCTGTAGACTCATGTGGGTCAAGTGTGTGAGTTTGAGTGTTGGGGGGTCCTATGAAGGAGACAGATTTCATGGAAAATACTTAACTAAATCAGCTGCCTGGCTTTCATGTCTTTGCTGCTAGATGCTGAAAACAGGGTGGAGTGGATGATTCAGGCAGCATTACCGAGTTAGACTTGAGAGTTAGAAATTCAGACAAGTTTGGTTCTGGCAAGACTTTTCAATACAACCCTTGTAGCTTATCATCGAATTTTAATGTGCTTCGACGTTTTTTATCTGTAAAATTAAAAATCATCCTATTTCCATGTCAAAGGAAGTCATTTGGAGAAATGGTAATGGTGAATTTACCCATATCCACATAGCAACTACTTTGATTTACTCAGAATGTACTATAGAGTCAACATGGTGGGGCTCTAAGTGGCCTGTTGGTGATCCAAGAAACTCTGTCCCTCTCCAAAGAGGGGAAGTAGAGTCATGCTAGAAACTGCTGTAGCTCAGGGCCTTTTAACACAGGAAATTAGGGCTAAGAATGCTCAAGGAATGGCTCTTCACATTTTTTTTGTGATCTATCTATCTCTTGTGTCTGCTACCAAGAAATAACCTAAGGAAATGCCCTGATCATTGAAAATGCTCAAGAGTTTTAGAAGCCATCTCATAACAAAGTTATTGTTTTTTTTCCAAATCCCAGGTTGTCAGTTATGTATGGTAGACTCCACCCTGGTCATTACATGACAACAGGATTGACAGAACTGGACGGGTTGAGCTCTGGTTTGGAACCACTAAAACTACACATATTCAAGCTCTGTGCGTTCTCCATTTCTCATCCTAACATGTGTGTGTTTGAGGGTGGGATACTCAGAGCCAAATTAGAGAATACAGAATACTTCACGATCCATAAACTGAAAGAGAGAAGTAAGAGAACGCAAGAAATGAAAAGGCAATGAAGAAAACACAGCTTAAGTGCCCTGGTTAACGATTCATTTATAACAAACAAAGAAAGGGGGCATTTGTACTATCTTCTGTTTTTCTCAAGAAGACTTCTACCTAGATCTTCCTCTATCCTCCTTGTCTCCTTCCTATGTGAAGTCTTGGTATTTTCCCTGTTCCCGACACTGGGAGAGGTAGAATGCAAAAATTACCGAGTCTCCCAAGGCACTTATCCCTATTCTTGGCCCATTGAGAATAGACCTCTCCACCTCCGCTCATGATGCTTCCAAGAGATGTGGGCACATGCGTTATGAATGTATCTAAGCAACAAGACTGTCTGTTCTCAGGGGACTGACTTCTGCTTCTGCTTCTCTATCTTCTTAGCATGGATCCATTAATGGGACATCAGAAGACTGCATGAATTTCTCAAGGTAAAATAGGACAGTCAGCAAGATAAGTAGGTTGTTCAATAAATAAAGGAAATGCACCTTTTACATAAAGGCTGGATATTTCTGTCAAACCTTGAGGTGTCAGTGATCCACACCTAGTTAGAGCAGAAGAGAAAACACTGGCTGGAAGAACACAGTATGTATTTCCATCCAGTACTCAATGAACACTTTGATCTACCATAAAGTGATTGATACTGGCAATTGAGACCTATTTGGTAAGATTGTGAGTGCTTGTGTGCACATGTGTGCTTGTGCCTCTGTTTTGGGAAGGTGCACAAGCATGCAAACACTCATGACAAAGAGATCATCTTATTACATGCAGTTGTACTGTTTGGGAGTATTTATGAAAGCAAATTTTAAGTCACTAAGAGCACAACTCAGCCACAGGCAACGTAAGGGACTAGTGTCTGATTTGCAGGTGTTCTTTGTATCACAACCAAGGGGACCATAAAAACAGCCCTTGAATTCAAAAGAAAGTAATCAGTTATACAGACGGTTTTAAGTAAGACTGAAGTTTTAGGCAGGGATGATATTCTTTTTCTTAAGGAAAAAAATATTGCCTTTGAAAACAGGTGATAAGCTTATATAAGAGAAGCAGACAGTTCAGCATACCATATTTCTGCAGCCATAGAACTTGGCACATGGCTTCTACAACTCTCAGAGACTGTGGGTCTCTTCTTGCAAGGAGGTCAGATGGAGCTGTGGCCTGATGGCTTGTATTCTGTGGGTGGGGGTGTTAAGAGGAGTTGCTCCCTCTTTGCCCAGGTTGGTGATGGAGGGCTCTCTGAGTGCTGCAGTCCAAACTACCTGGGCACTGGCCAGACTTATCAACATTCAGAGTTACAGTGCAGAATCCAGGTCCCTCACTCATCTCAGGGTGGGTACAGTTCTTTCCAGACACTTTCCCTGCTCTGTTACCTGCCCTGGAATTTCTGGCATTGGATCAAACAATCTATAGTCCACAAGGAGTGTTGAAGGTGGATTCTAGAAAGTGCTTCTTAGTTTTTCTTTATTTCTTATCTCTCCTCCTTCTATCTTTCAAATTACAAGCAAAAAAATAAAAAAAGAAAAAATAAAATAAAAAAGGAGGAAAATAAGGGTAATTCTCTCCTGGGTCCAAAGATGGAAACAAGCTCAAAGCTTAAGGTGAGCTTTCACTTCCTGGTAGTGACTAAAGAAATGGATCTCTGGGAGCTCATCAGCTTTGGCTCTTGCTTTTTTTTTTTTTTTTTTTTCGGGGGGGGGGAAGGTTCTCTACTTCCTGAAGGTGTCATCAAAGCCAGTATCCAACAGCCTCTTAGTTTTATTTGTGACATGAAGGAAGTCTCCATTGTAGACTTCCTGTCCTTTTCCTTCTTTATACCCTCCCTTACATTTTATAGGTATTTTCAAGCAAAAATTTGACATAAAATAAATACTTTATGGGTAAAACTGGCAAAACATTGGACTAACAGAGATTCATGAATTTCCTTCCTCATTTATAGAGAATGGCTGCCTTCTAACTCTCACACTAGCCATGGCCAGATTATTTGTTTCATTATTTTAAAAATGCCTCATACTATAATGTGATGGATTTGAGTTTAAAATGTTAACCATCCCCATTCCCAGGAGGAGGATCATGTAGACCTCATAGGAATTTTGAAAAAAAATTTTATTCTTCTAGACTTAATTTTAATTTTTACTAGATATCTCCCCAGTTCTCATAAGCTTGCCGATGATAATTTCTCTACCCCCTCTTGTCTCAATGAAGAATGGACTTCTTTTGCTTTTTGAAAAAGAGACTTGTCACTGTCTGTAACTTATTTGAGTCTGGTTCTCTATAGTATGCTTTAAATTAGCACACAGTGGCAGAAGATGCCTCCCAAAGGAGAATAATTCATGGCCAATGACATAATAAGATTTATAGAGGAGGCTGGCCAGGAGAAGGAAAGGGAACATTATTGGTTACCAGAGCCACTTAAGTGAAAGGACAGTACCAGCTCTAAGAGTTTCTTTGGAGAGATAGACACTGACAAGGACCAGAAATGAGTAGGTCATATTGCTAAGTAGAACCAAGGGGACAGGGAGAGAGTGAATAGGGCTCAGAGAAAAAGTAACAGGGAGGGTCATTTCCAAGGCAATGAATCCCTTCATAGCTACAGAGGAAAAAAAAAATAGTTTAGAGACTAGAATTTTTCTCTGAACCAGCTCATTCAAATCCTACTTTATCTTCATTTGAAATACACAGATCAGAGGTAATGTGCTCAATTGCCAGAATTCTTCATTTTCTCTTTGAGAGAAGGGACCCTGGAGATCAAGCCCCAGAAAGAGTAAGAATCATTCAGAGTCCAAGAAAGAAATACCATCAAGATTAAGGTCATGAGCTGCTAGCACAGTTTCCCCAAGTATGATCTGGCATAGTCACAGGTGAGGAAAGTACCAGCATTCATTGTATTTAAGTATATCCGTCCTACTAGACCACCACCTGGGGTCCACAAGGCTGTGTGATTTTTGAGTCTGAATTGTGGCAAGGACCTTCTGGTACTGCAAGTGATTAAAAAAGCAAAAGCAAAGAAAGCTTTAAAATGGATCAAAGACACATGAATCCCTGCATAGGTCAGGTTGTTGGACCAAGCCACAGTAGTGAAGTGTAAGGCTTCCCTCATAGCATCTGAACAGCTCCTGATACCTAACATTGATCAACATCCATCACGGCCCCTCCCTGTCACTTATTTCATTGGTGTACATGTAGTATAGTATACATTCTACTAACCCTGAAACAGTCAGAGAACAATTCCAAAGAACAAAACACAACTTAGAAAAATCTAAATTTTCATTGAAAATAATAATTAACACGGAAATGCATGTAAGCAGTGTATTGCTGTGATCATGTGCAAAAATAGATACATGGGGAAACTCATCCTTTAAGTTTTACTGCAGATTGATTCAAGTATCCTGTAGGTAAAATAAAGTGACTCATTTTCAATTATAATTTATAATAATATCAAATATTTGCTAGTGCCTCTCATAAACAAGGTGCTCTGTGAGGTGTTATAGGGATAAAAAGATGAATAAATAGCTTGGATAGGATCTAGCAGAGAAGATGAGATGTAACTCACGTAACTATGAAATAAGATGATCTTTGATAGCTGCTACTAGGGAGACACAATTACAGTGTTATGGACATTCACAAAATGCCTATTTTTTTTTTTTATGGATGGAAGATGAAGGGAAATAGATGCGGTGACTATTTGTTCTGGTCTTTGAAGATTTATATAGAGGAAATGGATATTATGTAAAAGCAGGAGATGGAGCATGTAGGGGAAAGTATTTAGGGCAGAGGAAACAGTTTAAAGAAAGACACAAGTAGGAAACCAGTTAAGGGACAGTTAAGGACAAGCCTGTGATTTAGATCGTCTGGAACATGGAATACACAAAAGTAAGTAACAGGGAGTCATGCTTGCCAGCTGGAAGACTGACAAGTGAAGCTCACTGAAGATTTTTTTTTTCAGTTGAGGTTTAACGTGATCTGATTTGTATTTAGGAAATGAGTGTTGAGAAGAGTAGATTCGAATGTAAATTTTTAGAATAGTGTGTTATAGGTTGTTGAAATAATCCAGATCAGAGGGAAGAGCCTGAGTGAAAAGGGAAGACTGGGAAACTTCTTGGGGTAAGAATTAACAGACTTCCCAAATGGTTAGATTGGGCGGGGGGTGGGGGGGCAAGGGAAACAAAGGAGGCAGAAGTGCCTGGGAAATCTTCATTTTGGTGACAAAAGGACTGGTGGAGTCATTAACCAAAAGGGTCACTTGGGGATTCTGTTGGTTTTCAGGGATAGTCTTGGATATCTGAGTCAATAAGAAGTGAGGTGACAGGGGATATGTGCATTAAGCTGAAGAGAAAAGTAAGGTCTAGGAGTGAAGGTCTAAAATTCGTCTTCATTCAGAGTCATCGAAGTTGTAAAAGACAGAGAGATTGCCTGGAGAGAAGGTGGAGAGGGTCAAACTTGGAACACTGCAGCTTGTCAAGGCTGAGGAAGAGCAGCAACCATGAGGTCACCAAGGACCAGATGGAGAGCTAATATCAAAACCAGAATGCACTGCCTCCCTGTGGTTAGTTTAAGGTGGTGTCAATAAGACTGAAGAGCAGGGAAAGGGGATTTGAATAAAGGTCATTAGAGTTTGGGATTTTGTAACAAGAATCTCATTGGAATTTACCAGCCAGTAGTTTATCAGCAGAGTGGTGGGAGAGGCCCCATTATAAAGCCATGGGCACTAGGTAAGGAAGTGAAGAGAGAGGGAACACCCTTTTGAGAAATTTGGAAGTGCAAAGGTAGACAGAGGTAGGGCAGAGATTCAAGAATCTATTTGGATTGAAAAATGGTTTGTCCTCAGAGACAGTTGTAGGGTATGGTTACTGTGATGGTGGCAGGCAGGTGTGTCAAAGGGATTAAAGATGCAATAGAGAGAAGTGCTACTAACTGTAATGCCCCTCAGAAGAGGATGGAGATGATGTCAGAGCATGGAGAAGAGGAGCACGGAGTTGAGAGGGAAGCTGGGAAAGATGAATAAAGGACAAGAGAAACTGAGAGGCAGAGAGGAGTTATATGAGAATTCAATACACAGATGTCTTTTCTTGGTAACACAGCAAAAACAAGATTGCCTTTTGACAGAGAGACAATGAAAATCAAAGGAAAATGAAACGAATTTGATCCTAGAGAATGTTACATGGAGTCAGCAGAGCAAAAACAAGAGAGATGGCCAAGCTGGGAGAGTTCAAGTGAGATGAAAGGGGCTGATTCTGTGCTCTTCAGCACAGGTCTAAGACCTCCTCTTGGAGATGGAATGAATGATGGGAGATTGGGGTGTAACATTAGATAAGCAAAGCAGGTACAGTCAGCAAGCAAGAGGAGAAAGAGATTGCTGGTAAGAGCATTGCGGATATGATGAACCTCAGGGTCACTGGTGTGTTCCCATGACCAAAAAGGGAAGTAAATGAAGCCAGATCTGTTCATGAACCTTAACCACAGATGCACTTAAAGGAAGGAAGGTCAGATATAGAAAGTCTGGGGTTGTGGGTAAGAGGGGGAATTTCAGAGTGATAACTCGGGGAGATAAAATGATTACAAAAGAAGAGGTCCAGGTGAGGTCGTGATAAAAAGTTAAATCTTAAATAACATAATTGATAAATCTTTAACTCACACCTTAAAACCAGAAAATATTAAACCTACATGGCTTAATATGCACACTTCTTTATATATACATAATACATACATTAAAATATTTTGTACTTATGCATTCATACATTCAATGTCAGTAAAATATACTCCATTTTAAAAGTCTATTATTTTCCTCCCAGCACTAGCCCAGGGACATAGGATGTGCTCAACAGACATTGGTTTAGTTGAACTAATGTATTTAACTAGATCTTTTATTTTTATAATATTTTTTCTTTAGAGTACTGGAATCTGCTCCATTCCATAAATCACAGCACTAAAATAATAACAGATAGAGTTCAGGTGTAAAGTGTGGAAACCAAATCTTTAAAATAACAGTTTTCTGACAGTATGAGTGTGCAGCTTCTTGCTTGTACCTTTAATAATTGCACTGAGTTCCATTTCTTTCACCTTTGCCAAAGTAAATTTTCATACCACACCAGAGTCCCAAGGCTAGGAGTAATTCTACTCATCTACTCTACTTCCCACCTTCAGTTCTTCTCAGGAGCCCTTATCCTTATAACCATACCAACAATTATATTTTAAAGCATGCAACTGTGCCAGCACCTCACTGTGATGAACATTGAAATGGATGCACATGAACACAGTGGCAGAGAAATATGGAAAATTGTTAACTTTTCCCCTTGATTCCCAGCACCCTGTGCTGACCCAACACTCTCTGAGAAAAATTCTTCTCTCTCACTTCATTATTGTAAACTGAAAGCCCTAACCTCCACCAATATGGAAATAGCACTGAATTTCATTTAAGGTTTTTTGGTGTGGACCTTTGTTTGGGGAGTAGAAAGATTATATCTTTAAAGTCACAGAATTCAAAGGAACCCTCTCGTGTTGAATCAGTGCAACTGAAATGGGTATGAGGGTGGGATATATTCAGACATCTTGTGATTTTTTTATATTGTATAGCAATCCCCCGAACTAGAATGGAATCCTAGAGCTAGATCAAATTAGAAGTTCTCAGACTAATCTGCATTTTAATATTGCCCCAAATATCTGATAGACCTAAAAAAGAATTGCCCCCAGGTTAAGTAGCACCTGATAGTCAACTGGCTCCTTAACAGTTAGTATGGGATGGGATAAATGGGTACGCAGTGTGCAGGTGGGAAAGTATAGAATACAGGACAACCCAGTTAACTGGAAGATTAATTGAACTGGGACAGAAAACAGATAACACAGGAACTTTTAAAAATTATATTAATTCAACTTGATCTTCCTAGCTGTCTACTCTGTAACAGGAGAAGAATCAACCTTCCATTATCTACAGAGTCACAGTCCTTCACCTCCCTACAAGATACTGAATTTGTATTGTAAACAATTCCTAACTAGGAATCCTATCCCAATGTCACATGAGCCCTGAATAAAAGCAGGTGGAAATGAAATATGGTTTAAATGTCTTCCCTTCTGGAACCTATATCCTTGTTCCCTGCTCTTACTCCTGGTGTTCTCTGCTTTCTCCCTCTTGTATCATCCCTTATTCCCAGGAAAAGGAATGAAAATCCTAATGTAAATTAGGTGTTTAAATGTATAAATCCCTAATATGGCTTAATATGTCACTCTTCCTGGGATTGCTTTCATTTAAAAGACATTGGAGCAGCTCAGTGCTAAAGCAACCAATCTGCCTGGGAGACCAGGAGTTGGAACCCTTTTCCGGACCTTGAAATCACACCATGGACACAGACCATTTGTAAGGCCAGACCCACCAGTATGACTGCCCACCTTGGCTGCTTCTCCTCCAGAAAAGTTTCTTAGACAGGAAGAAGAGTCTCTGGACTCAAGTAAAAAGCAAAGGCTCTACGATAGCGTTTAGCAGCCCGTGGAGCACACATTCCTATATGGCTTCGGGCTCAGAGAGCACATACAGTACTGCCACGGTACCTGGCAATGCCTAATGCATTCATTAACGGCACTGCAGTTACATCATTTATGCGCACATCTGAATCATTCCTAACACACCAAAAACAGACATGCACAGCGCGTCAAGCAATGACAGGGCCTTTTTAGAGAGACCATGATTAAAAAAATAGAGTGAGTTCAGGAATAGCCTTTCCAAAGGCAATTACCCAAACAATCTGGTTATTCTGTCCCTAAATCTTGATCTAACTAAAACCAAACAAAAAGCAAAACAAAAACAAAGAAACCCTAGTTCTTAAATGTGATGTGCAGGTGACCAGCACTCTGCAGAGAATTCTCCCTTGGGCAACTCCTGATGGCCATGGAAGACTGGGCGGGTGATAATCACTTAACTGTATAGACGACTCCTATTTTTATCACATTACACATGCGTTTTGGCACTACTGACACCACCAACATTTAATGGAATCATTTGGGATTTTTCCCCCAATCACAACATGGCTGTGGCCAGTACAGGGAACACACATTAAGGATGTCTCCCAAATTCTGGCTGAGGGTACACAGTGACGACTTTTGAAATAACAAGGTCTACTGTACATGCATCACTCTGAAGGGTGTGCACATTCTTGACTCAGGCATATTCAAGGGTCAAGTCACTGAGGTCGGTGGAAATACTGAGATTTCAGCATTGCCACTGAATGGAATGATGCAGAACCATACCTACCAACCCACTTCCAAAGTAGTAGGGAATGATAGAAAGCACACAAGAGAGAAAGCACGGATTCTGAAGAACACTGGAACACTAGGCGCTCCTGAGGGTATCTGCAGAATCTCACAGTTTTGGATGGATTGGGTCTTGGTCCATACCCGTCTGTGATACAGATGGGGCTTACTGCTGAGTTCCTCCTCATGCATTTTACTGCTTGTTATTCTGGAATTAAGTAATAACTAGAACTTGACAATGCTTAGCCTTCCTCTTTTTAAGCATTCTTGAGCAGGCCATGAATGTCTTACTTGGTCCCAATTCAAACATCCAGTGGATGAAAAATGATCAATTAGAGCCAAATAAGGGGTTCAGAAAAATGAAATTATTCATCTGACAGCTTCTGATGATGGAAGTATAGGAAAAAAATGCAATAGGGTAATATGCTATATAGACTTGGGAATTTCATTCTGTGGGGGGGAGGAGAGAGAGAGAGAGAGAGAGAGAGAGAGAGAGAGAGAGAGAGAGAGAGAGAAAGGGAGAGAGAGGGCTGCCACACTCCACAAAGCCAAGGTCCAGGAAAAGACTTCTATTTGTCTGGTTAACCCAAGGTCAGGTTGTAAATACCTGACGTGAGGCAAATAGCACCTTCCTGATGGCAGTAATGAGGACAAGGCAAATATAAAGCCACTGTTGGCACCGTCCCTCATATACCCACCTGCTACCTCTAAAACTAACTTCAGCAATCTTTCTAAGGGAATCATCTAGCCACTGGTGAGTGGATCTGGTCATCTTTTCTAGCAAAGCATGGGAATTTCTAAGACCCGAATCTAGTGCTACCCCTGTGTAACCAGATGGCACATTCTTCAAAAAGTTAAGTCAGTGGACGTTTTCTGGGTGTGGCCGCAGCACATATTTCTAAGGGAGGGGTAGGGGGCTAGGGTTAGGGCCCAGGGACTAGGAAGAAAAGGGTCAGGTGGTGAGATGGCTGCTAAACACCAGAGAAGTCTACTGGGAGATTCCTCAGGATGGAGCTTCCCGAAACCTCTCAGTCACACTGTGAATGGGAGGTTAATTTGACCTCAGTTCTGTTTCAAACCCTTTTGGGAACCTTTGCTGTGCTAGGTATTGACAGAGAAAATCTGGTGCCACCAGCTTGTCTTTGATGGAGTGCTGGTACCCTATGTCTACCCAGAAGACCACAGTCCGACGGGGCTCTGCTAGGAGCCAAACTGGACCCAGCAAAGCCCAGGCCAAATTGCATGAACACTTCTCAAAGACCAGCGAGAAGACTGGCTTGGGGGTGGGGGGGCATGGACACAAACTATTTTCCCCTGGCTTGTTCACCATAGTGGCTTCCATTCACATTCACTTTTTCCAGACACCCTGAAGCAAAAGCCATACAAAACAATTCCCCCAACGGAAAACAAAAACCTGTAACAAAACACTGTTTTCCCCTTCATTCCCATCCCCACCCCACTCCCTCCAGCCCAACACCCTGAATACTCACAAGAGAACACTTTATCTATACAAAATTAATTAGAAAACAAAATATTTACATATGAAATAAACACCATCTTGATTTCTGTAGCCAGTGGAGACCAACAGAGCCCCCTGTGTTCTAGATTGCTGTTCGCTAGGATAGTTGGTTTGGTTTTTTTTTTTTTTTTTTTTATTTTAAAGGGGTGAGGTAAGAGGAAGAGTGAGGGGATGAGCCCCTGACCCTTGGACAGAGCCAGGGTGAAGCGATGTTTCTATGGCCCTTCTCGTTCTTCCTCCTGGAGAGACGCCTCACGCCCTCTGTCCTCTCTCTCAAAGTCTTTCCTTGAATCTAAGGTAAAGCACTCCGTGCTCCTCTCTCCAAATCTGTGAGAGGTTCAGCCCCTTGCCCCCACGTTCATTTTAGAAAGAAAACAAAGCATTACAAGGCCTTCAGTTGGCTTTAAAATGAAAGATACTGAGGTAAAAATCAAGGAGGAGGACGGGGGACAGCAGTCGAGGGCAGGGAAGGAGGAAGGGTCGTGAGGCAGGGCCATCAGGAAGGCAAAGAGCAGCCCTGGAGTATGTGACGTGAAGAGACATGGCAGCTTCCTTCCAGAGGAGGATGAGCACCTTTCTGGTTTATGTGTCCTGTGTGCAACAAGGCGATCCTGTGGTCAAGCTTCCAATCAGACCCGGGGCTCTTTGGATGCCACCCTGTGAGAGGAGGATGGCAGGACAGTGGAACTGACCCATAGAATACCCCCACCCCAAGTTCCAGGACCGGCAGTGACAAATACTCATTTCCCTTCTCAATTTTCCAACTTTAAGTGAAGGGGGCATCACATCTGCCAGTACCCTCATCCCTGGAGTTTTACACACACACACATACATATATATATATTTACTTTTGAATGGTACAATCTGAGAGGGAACAGAGGTGTTGCAGGAAGGTGGAAGGGCTTCTACCAAGAGAGTTCCCACTGGGCTCAAGTCACATTCCCAGGGAGCCAGGCCCAAGGAGGTAGTGGGAGAGTCCCTCCCGCCTACCGTTCCCCACTTCCAGATCAATTCCCTTCTCTCCAGGCCTCCCGAGCTGTGCTCACGGGGGTAGGCTCATGCTCTTCACTGTCTGTTCCCTATCAGTTGTCATCAGTTCTAGGGGAACAAGCCTGCTTTTCTAGCTCCAGGCTAAGTAAGAAGGGATCAAAGCATTGAAAACATCCCCCTCTCTCACTTACCCTACCATAAATGACTCCCCTCTTCCTCAGAGCCTTACTGAGCTTCTCCCCAAACCTTGCCAGTTGAGGGTCTAAAAGCTCAACAGAGCTTTATGGAGACTTTTGCTCTCAAGTGTGTGCAAAAGAATTATGGCTGCCTCTATTTCCCTTTAGCCTTCCTGGAAAGTTCTTGACCCAAACCAATGGAACTCACTGGCAATCAATGAAAAATCATTTTAGTATCTTGCTTTTGTAGGATTGTCTCCCTTTCTTTTTTGCTTTTAGCACAGAATCTTCTTTGTCAAGAACTTCCATTCCTCATTCAGGAAGGTGAAGGGGACAGACAGCAGACACTCAGATAACATATGACCCTCTCTGTTTGTATATAAGCCAAAATGAGTGCATTGCTCAGGGATATGGAAGGAATCAGCACAATGAGTCAAGTTGCCTTCTCTACATTTAGAGGCACCTGACCGCCCATGTGTGCAAGTATACATGGACATACATGCACACACGATCCCCTGCTGTTGCCTTCAATGCACCATATAACACTATAAAGAACTTTCTAGTTTGTTCAGGAATCCCCTCAGCCACCAATGACCTTTCACTCCAGTTCACTGCTAATGAATCTCATGGAGTTGAAGCAAACTTTTTTTTTTTTTTTTTTTGGCTTATATATAAACACACAAGGCCTCCTACCCTCCCTTTGGCACACCATCCCTGTGCAGATGTCATCCACCCAACAAGAATTTAGCAAAAGCCTCTTTTCATTCACAAGCAGTATGCTAAATGGTCTCACTTAGATGCTTTTGCTTCCTCACCTAAACAGAAAGATTAAGTTTGGGAAAAGCTACTCCCGTGCTCACATGGCTTCCTTTTGCTTCTCCTGGCTTCACTCAAGGTAGATGGCAAAGAGCTCTTCCTTCCCTGCTAGGAGGAAGCTCGCATGCAGTACTTCCTTTCTCCTCTGAACCCTCCCGCGCTGAGAGGGCCCGTTTCAGCCCTCTTATGGGAACAGGAATGGCGCACAGATCTGGGGAGGAGAGGAGAACTGTGAAAAGGAGGAGGGATGGTGCTGGTCACCAGGGTTGCCTTCAGCAAGAACCAGAACTCCAGGATCCCATAAATAAACTAAAAGAACAAGAAAGGAGCAAATGGGAACCAAGTTCACCCCGACCCCCTCCGTGACATGCGCACCACACGACCCGCAGCCCTACCCCTCCCATACCCACCTTAACCTCTCTCTTCCCTCACTCAGACATCAGACTCAATACTAGAAAGTTTCTCATAAACATGCCCATTGCTGGAGCCATTGAAAGCCCTGGGGTTTTTGTTGTTAGGCACACAGGGGTTGGACTGGTTCCCTATACAGATGTCCTTCTGGAAACGGCCTGGCACAGCCCCATGAAGGGCCGAGACCACCGGCTTGTTGGTGACAAGGGCCCGGAAGTCCGGCCTGGCTTTCGACGCCCCTGCCACAGTGGGCTGCCTGAAGAAGTAGGATTTGCTGCCATGGAGCAAGCACTGGTCGTCCCCAAAAGTGGGGATGAAAGGGTTTTGCGTGACCCGGTCAGGGTAGAGCGACTTGCTGAGCATGTAGCCGCCGCCGGGGTTGTTGTGGTGGTGGTGTCCGGCAGTGGGCACTGAGGACTTGTTGTTGGCAAAGGTGCTCTCGCCGGCTGGCATCTCAAACATGTGGGCGTAGGGGCTCCCGTCCAGGAAACGGCCCTTGTCTTTCAGGCTCACGCTGCGCGGGGCCAAGGCGGCTTCTTCCTTCTGCAGGTCCACGAAGGTGTCGTACGAGTGCTGCCGGCGCAGTTTGTTCCGATTCTTCTTCTGGGCCTTGGAATTAGTCGGGCTCTGAGGATACTTGGTGGCGGAGGCGTTGGACGTCACCGCCACGGGGGCAGCCGGCTGGTCCAGTTCCTGCAGGGAGTTGTCCTCGCTGATGTCGTACAGGTTGCCAGCCTTCTTGCAGGCCTCGCACCGGATGCACGCCTGCCGGCCCGAGTTCTGACCTGCCACCGTCGTCGAGTAGTTGTGCAGCTTGGAGGGACAGCTGCGGCAGAAGTTGCCCCCAGACCGGTCATCCCAGTCCACGTTGGTCAGGTTCTTCTCCCAGGGAGCTGGTACCCCGCTGACCACGCCGTGTTTGTCGCCCGACGGGTGTTTGAGGTGCGACCTGTTAGTACAGGGCCCTCCTCCGCTGACCGAGTCGCGCTTGAAGTCGTCGCTCCGCTCCTTGTAGATATCGGTCAGGTCCACGTGCTCCCAGTGAGGGGAGTTCTCCTTGGTTCGGAACTGGTCCAGGTAAAAGTCCCGCAACCCTTCCTTGTCCCTGAAATAGCGCTTGTGGTCAGGGGAGCGGGGCGGTCGGCGACGGTAGGCCAGCTCGATCTCGTCGAACTCCCTCCGGGACTTGGCCGAGGCTGGCCGCTTCTTCAGGCTGTCCTTGTACTGCTGCTTACGCCTCTTGGCCGCATTGCCTTCGATGTTTCCGTAGGTGACCGTGTGGGTGGAGATGTCCGAGACATCTGAGCGGATCAAGTCGTCGTGGCCACTGTAGCGGTCGCTCTTGAAGGAGAACTTGCCGTACAGGTCACTTAGCTGGCTGTGTTTGGAGGAGGGCAGGCCAATGTCCAGGGGCTTCTTGCTGATGGACCTGGGCTGGGTGGTGAAGGGTGGGTTGTCACAGTCGTAGAGCCCGTCGATGGAGCTGGTGCTGCCGATGCTGTGCGGCCTGTGGTGGTGGTGGTAGTGGTCTTGGTACACGTTGCTGTCCTTCAGCTGCAGATTGCCAAACGTTCTCTCCACCTCGCTGATGTAGTCGCTGAAGAGGTTCTCCTCGCAGGGCGGGTTGTTATAGGACTTGCAGTCGGAATGGGTGAAGCTGCGGCGGTGCTCTGAGATGTCATAGACGGATGACTCGCGGCGGATGAAGTCCAAGGCGCTCTGGGGTGAGCCATTCACGCCAGAGAGGTTGGCCATGTTCTTGGCCGTGCGGAGCAAGCGCAGGATGTTGGAGTGTGTGTTGTTCATGGTCGCCGTGGGGGAGTTCATCACAGATTGGCGTTCTTCAATCGCCACTCCATGAATGCAGCTGTAGATACCCTGAAGCAAAATACCATGGGACAGATGAGATTCAGGAAAGCTAAAAATGACCATAAACCACATTCTACAACCAAGACATTCCTAGAAGCCAGAGAAAGCACAAAGCAGATAGTTTTATCCACTCTTACAAGATGTAGCTAGAAGATTGCCTGTATCATCCCCTTGAATTCAGCGAACCTCATTTCATGAGTTAAGGTTAGTGTCCTGGCCATCAGAGAGGAGCCTTGGCTGAAACAAGTGATTTGAACAAATAGACTGGAATTACAAAACATGACATTCCTGATTCAACTCCACCACTGACTTGATTTTTCTTCTATGCCCAGATTTTCACATTTTAAGAACAAGGTCATGATATGAACCCACAGTTAAAAAAAATCAAAAAAACCAAAAAACTCAGCCTTCTGGAAATAGGTGGCAATGCTCTACAGATACTGAGGATGCTCTGCTCTAGCTGGTTACTCCCGAATGGCAGAAAAGGGGCGCAGTAGCTCACAGTTGCCACTCTTTTCCAACTTTGACAAAATTTGAGCAGTTTTTAGAATTTTGGTCACCAAAAAACAGCTGAATAATTCTGTTCTTTAGTCAAGCATGAACCAAACTCACACAGAGAACTAGGAAGCCTGGGGTCAAAGAAGAATTTTTCTCCTACTGTGCCCTACACCATGGGAGGGAAAATTGGGACAAATATCAGATACTAGGTATGAATAAATAACTCCCTTGTTGAATTCTCTTATTTATTCTCCTGTTAACTCTCAATTTCCTTCTTATACTTTCTCACTCACTTAATATTATCATAAATAATGTTTTATCATCTTAGCATTGATAGAAAGCTTCCTGTGTACAACTCTTTATATTGGGCAGTGAAGAACAGCATCCATGAGAAGGAAGCCCTGGGCTCCTGGTTGGCCTCCTAGGTCCACTTCTAAAGTCAAATCAACCTACTGCTCACCTCTTGTTCCCTGCCTTGAAAGGTAGACAAACTGAACTTTTCTCCCTGGTAAGGGAAAGTATTAAAGAAGAAGTGCTGAATTGTGTCTTTGCAATAAGGGAAATAAATTTGGAAATGGATGTTCTCCCATGGATAGGAATAAAAACAGAGAAGGTTAGAAGGAGAATGGCAGCTAAGTGGGAAAGAAGAAGGGAGCCTATTGTCCCAGAGGACATCACAAGGTCATAGTTACTCTCCATTCTGTCCTTGTCCTTCTATCTAACCCTTCTTTTTCTATGACCTGGAGAAAATGCCAAGCATTTTTCCTCTCTCAAGGGACTAATAATGTCAAAAGGTATAAGCAGGATTCCTATTACAGGTCATCAGTTTCTTTTGCTTCTGTGATTGCCTTATCTTGGGTCTTGGGGAAGGGCTGTGCAGTAGAACAACCCAAATTGGACTGTAACCAATGCAAGTTCCATTCTCCTATTCCAGTGGTACTTATTGACCTCAATCAACTCAGCCAGAGAGGAAATGGAGAATTGTTCCCTATCAGTGAAATACTACAGGAAAATTACCAAAAAAAAAAAAACCAATTTAATGAGAAATCCATTTACTTTCATAACTTCATTTGAGGCAAAGTTGGTCATATTTGGAAAGTGGACCTCAATCCCAAAATGTAATTTGAGTTGACTGCTCATGAGTGGGCCCCATGACCTTATTAAAAAAATCAAAAAGAGGTCCACTTTGTTTTTTAAACTCCTGTCTGTGATATCTTGTTGATGTACAAAACTGTTCCTGATGCCTCACTTTAGATTAGAACTGAAGAAGTGACCTAAAGAATGACCTAAGAGTTATACTCTTGTTCCAATTAAGGAAGTTACTGGAATATAAATTTCTTGTGAGTCAGGACTTATTTCTGAAGGTCCTGTTAAGCTCTTCAACTCCTTATACTCCACTCATGATTAAAACATAGGAATAGTGAGACCACCATTAATATACCTTTGTTTGTTAGAATTAGAGAGAGATGTTTCATTCCATTGTTTAAATAGAAATGTGACTCTTTTAAAGGATTAAATGATTAATACAGCCTATAAAGAATTGACTAATGGTGATGAAAAGCATTTGGGGAAAAGCCAAACTTTCCATTTTGATGGATCTGCCAGTTCTTATTGCAAACCAAATGCCCAAATCCCACATGGAAAGGTATTTCTTAAAGGAAATATAGTATCACTTTTTTTTTGGTCCTCTTGAAATATCACAAAAACTTCTAGTGAAATGCATGATGTAATTTCTTGCTCTAGCAACATAAGGCTGGAGTTAGTGCCCTCTTGGGGTCTCTCTGTTTTGCACAGTGCTAGGCTAAGCTATCCTTAACAAGCTCTAGGCATCTAAATCAAAGCACTTACTCTGCTGATGGAGAAGACCATGCCAGGCTTGCCAGAACAGACACCCATAAAGCAATGCCGGAACTGCCAATAGAAAAGGTGTTCACAGATGAAGGTGATAAGGCTGAGTGCCATGGCTGCCCCCAACATGTAGAAGACGCCCGCCATGTTGTCAATGTCCAGCTGGCTGCTCATGACCTCATTCTTCTCATTGTGGCAAATGCCAGTGAGCCAGAGAGCTTCCAGTTCTTCCATCTCCCCTGGAGACAGGGCAGAGAAGAAAAAATAGATAAAGGGGAAAGAGTAGGAGAGGAATAGAGAAATGGGGGAAAGAGGAATATTAAGGAAGAGAGAAAAAAACAAGAGAGAGAAAGAGACAAGGAGACACAAAGAAAGAAAATGAATAAAGAGAGTTAATAGTAATTTTATTAATACCATTATATGTTAGCTCATCAATGTATTCAATAGGTATTTAGTGAAAACTCAATGAAGATAGTGCAGGTAATACAAAGACATGACACATTGACACTGCTCCCTTTTACCTGCCCAGTGTAAATTGATATACGTAAATGATCACTATGACAAGCTATCTGTTATGCAGGCAAGAGTTTAAATTACTGAGAGTAATTTGGTGGATGGAGGGTAGCTAGTGGGCTTTCGTGGGGGAGGTAGGACCTGGGATTGGGCATGATGGATTAGTGAATTTTAATTTATCTTTTACAAAAAGGCACTCCAGGCAGCAGAAATACCATGATCAATGGGAGGGAGGTGGGGAAATACAAGCTTGTTTAAGAAGAGGCAGGAAGAACAGTTTAAACAGAATAACAGTCAGCAGAAGAAGCCAAGTAAAAAACACCCACCGATGCAAGAATTCTGAGGACATCAGTGTCAGACTAAGCACTTTGCACTTTATTTTACAGACAGTGGGAACAACATAATCAAACAAGTGATTCAGAAACTTGCTCTTACAATTGCACAAAGCAGACTCACTCGGCAGGGGAAGGAGAGACAGAGAGAATAGCAGAGAATTGGTTGGTTCCCTAGGGTCCCTTAGATTTACAAATTTCTTGTTGAAGAGGAAAATACAAATAAATATATAACAGCAAACTAGGAGTAAGCTTGAATAAAAGAAGACCACCCAAATCATATCTGAGGGCTCTTAACGCCGCATAAGGATGCTTTCATTACTTAAATTCTGGCAGATTCCAATGGCCTTTATCTACTTCACAGGATACTAGGAATTAGAAAGGTAGAAATTCTAGGCTAAAGGGAAATGGAATAAACCATATGCCCTGGAATGTCTCTTATCCTAGAGAAGCACAGTTCAGAAAATCTCATGAAGAAGTTGTCCATTCTAACAGTTACAATTTGACTAAAAATGTGGACTTTGCATGATCTGAGTAATGTTTTGGCAACTTCTGCAGAATCATCTCTAGTGTTGCTCTTCCCCATAGGTACAGGCTCCATTTTTGCCTACAAGTGACAACCCTGAGTTACAGAAGCTCTTATACCAGGGCTTAGAAACACTCTGGCTATACCCACTTGCTCTTTTGATATTAATACAATCACTTTTTACACAAACCATGCTTTTCCTAACTAAGGGAACAGCCGAGATCACCTGGAGTCTGGGAATCTACCTCTGATTTTCTGCTTCTGATCTCATCCCTAACGGCAAAGATTCTGCAGACATAATTGAGAGAGCCACTTGGCTGATGGGCTGTGGAGCCATGTGGAGGAAGGCTGTTCATCTGTAACTGGATTAGATTCCGTGAGGATGACAGGAAGAGTAGGTGCTTTGGATAATAAAGTGAAGAGAAATGCAGAAGACAAGGGTATAATGAAATAGAAGAGATTTTTCTCAGTGCAAGCTGGCTGCTCAATCTGCTGCCAGAAATGACACAGGCGAGTGCCTTATGGTGCCTGCCTCTGTGAACCCCTGGCCTGCCTCCTACCTCTTCCAGCTGAAAGAGGAAGGTAGGAGGGAAGGAAGGAAGAGTAGACAACTATGCCTTCATTTCCCTGCCCTTTCTCTGGGCACATAAAGAGTCCTTCCACAGTTCCAGCTACTGTTTGGGCCACATGTAAAATGACTGGTTGGAACATCTTATACCAGTCTCTTCTACTTTTTCCTGGAAGGTCTGATTACACCCTGCAATATTGAAACACAACTTGTGACCAACTATTTTAATCTTCTCCCTCATCCTTCACCCAATATGGGTTGAACTGTGTCCCCACCTCCCCACCATAATTCATGTGTTGAAGTCCTGACCCCCAGTACCTTAGGATGTGTCTTTATTTGGAAATAGGGTAATTGTAGATTTAATTTGTTAAGATGATTTCATACTGGAGCACAGTGGTCCCCCAGTCCAATATGAATAATCTTAAGAGATACGTTCAGAGGGAAAATGTGCATACATGTAGGATGCCATGTGAACATGGAGGCAGGGCTCAGGGTGAAGCTTCTACAAGCCAAGGAAGACCAAATATTGCCAGCAAACAATCAGAAGCTTGGGGAGAGGACTTAAATAGTCTCTCTCACAATCCCTAGGAGGAACTAACCCTACCAACACCCTGATTTCCAACCTCTAGCCTCCAGAACTGTGAGAGGATAAGTTTCTGTTTAAGTCAATGTTCATGGCACTTTGTTATGGCAACTCTAGAAATCTAGCATATTCTCAAATTTCATTATATACTGTGAGATGCTTTTTTTGTGCAAATGCATAGGTTAGAGGAACAGAGATGGAAGAAGGGTTGATATTTTGAACTGGCCATTGGAGGAGGACAAATGGGCACTTTCCCTTTGTTTAACTCACCATCTCCAAACAGCTGCAGGATAGCAAGGTCCACCTGGCGCTTCCACCCAGAGTCTTTCTGAATGGCAATGCCATAACCAGTGGAGGCAAAGACCTTGCCGCTGCCAATGGTGACTAGCTTGCAGCCTTCGTCTCTGCCCGCCATGTAGTTCAACACTGCTGCATCATAGATGAAGGCATCCAGCTTCCTGCACAGGAAATAAGTAAACAAAATCCAAAAGAGGAATTTCAGAACAAAACTAAACAAAGGGGCATTAATATGAAGCAGCAGGATTTCATAAAGCTATGTAGAGAACTGGTTCAAAGTAAGGCTCAAGTTGGACTACTGCCAGAATCTAAAGCCCAAATCCCAGGCTGTTCTTTATGTGATTTCAGGTTGAAAAGGAGGTGATCTTTCCCTCCCACTGGGAATGACAAGAATGTATGTTGGGCCTGAAGCCAACTCATAAGCTGTGTCTGAAAAGGAGAGGGAGTAAGAAGGAATCAATAAAAATAATAACAGAAATAATGAGAAGTAAGCGCCACAATGATAACAAATAGCATGGGTAAGATTTATATAACATTTTTCATTTCTCAGTTCATTACAGTCCAGAGTGGGGATAAGTGTAGGTGTATGTGTTCCAATAGATGTGCAATGCTATTTTTGTGGTCAGGAAGGTTCCAATATTCTGTTGTATGGCACAAGGACAGAGGTGAGTGGTTGGGGTGGTGGCAGCACAGGCTTGTCAAGAACAAATGAGAGACTACAAGGGAAGGTAACATATGGAAGAACTCAGATCTCTCCAATTCCTAAATGATCAGGACCTCATTCTGTGGGTTCTCTTTGATAAGGTAGGAACACATAGAGAAAAGCCTTGGACTAAGGGCAGGAAGGCATGAATCAAAGCTTAAAACCAACATTTACACATAGCAAAGCTAGAGGAAGGAACTCCCATAAAGCCCAAAAGGTAATAGAGAGGTCTGAAAAAAGAAAAACATGTATCATCCCCTGTACTTTTGCAAAGCAAGTAGTTTTGTCCCTCCCTGAGAAACAAACAAAAACAATCCTTTCTTCCATGATACACCATGAGACATTTTATAAAAGGTGCCCCAGAGAAAGTGGCATACCAAAAAGACAAAGCTCTGATATGATTGAGAATTGGGGGTTCAGACTACCCAAAGCTGTCCTACCCCAAGTCCAAATTAAATCTTCTGAAATCCCATGCAAACGTATTGATGGTATAATAAGTAACCACGTGTCACAGGGATACTGAGAGGAAGTCCACCTGCTGCTAGTCATTATGTGACACTGTAAAGCCCCATTTGATCCCCCAATCCCAAATTCTATAATGCCTGTCCCTTTCTACAGGTCTGGCTTCTGGAGACTAAATGAACAAAAGGATAATCAACACATTTGTAATTCACGAATTTCTTTTAATGAACAAAAACTCTTAGATCCAACAAAAGCTGGAATTGGAGATCAGTCAATATTTGCTTACTTTTTGTTATCTAAAAACGTTTACACTTTTTGTTCTGTCTATAACACACCAGAACCATCATTTTCACTTCTTAGAGTACAGGTTTTATTTCATGAGTAACGAATGAGGCTTATCCTTGACTCTTTCCTTCTATTTTAATATCTATTTCATTTATTTTATGGTTACATTTGTGCAAGTAAAAAGTAATTTCTAAAAAAAATGCAGAAGTAATAGCATAGGAATCTTTGTACACAGGTTTGAATCACATTGTCAAGTGTAACTTGGAAATCCATAAACAGTAAATAAAGTCTTTGATCTTATGTTATGTGGCACCATGCATGGTATACTAGTATGTCTGATTCAATACATGTTTAATAAATTCGAGGAACATATCAAGCACTCTCAGATGGGAAGATGTTCTTACCCTGTTTTCAGGGAGAGCAAAGCATCATCCACACCTCTCTGGTTGAACTTTCCCATGTAGGCATGCATTTCTGCATAATTGTTACGAATATTTCTCTCTGTGCTGCCATTGGGCACAGTCCCAAAGCGGAAAGGGGGTGAGAAGTCATTAGGTCTCTGGAACTGGAGAGAGAAAGAGAGAGGGAGGGAGAGAAAAAGAGAAAAGGAAAGAAAATGCTTTAGAAAATGTGAAGAGACATTAAGTTAGCATTAGTGGTTTTGTAATGGAAGAAACCCAACTATAATTCACTCAACACATTAGCCTCCATGCAGGAGCCCACAGTAATTGCTATCTGGAAGTGGACTTCAATTCAACTCAATTTAATACATATTGTTGGGAGATTTCTATTTGCTCAAACCTGACTTTAATCTATGACCCTTGTGTGTTCGTTTTATGCACACTGCACAACACCAGGGATGATGGGCCAGCTAGCATAATTGTGGTGGAATAGCCACCCTTCTTTCTGAAAATTGTATAAAATCTGCATCCTGTCCTCTTAATTTATGAAACTAAATACATCATCATTGTACTATTAAGGTTAGAGGGCCTCTGTGAGGTGAGTTATATTGTATTCCTAAAGATAATGTGTTGAGTATCAAATATATTTTGCTAAAAATTTTTCTCTTGACTTTCCGAGTATTCAAAACTCATAATTCTCCTATATGAATTATAGGATAAATTGTAAAATCAAATATAATTTAAATTATGTTTCTCCCTTTGCTTAAACTCTGAGAGTGGATCTCCAGTGTCTACTGTAAAACACTGTAATCTCTTGGATTTTCACCCCATGACATCGGGTTTATTTTTGGTTATTACCCTGCAATGAGTAAGTCTTTAAGTTGTTTTCTGAGCACATAATTTGTTCATTTGCATCTTCAGAGTCTCATATCGTCTATCTTTTCTGCACAAACTCACCCTTGTCTCTAGCCAATTCATGTTCTTCATTTCAAAATATCACTCAAAGCAATTTCTTCAGGAAATCTTCTGTGGATTCTTTCTTCTATCAAGTTTACCCAAAGTGATCCATTAGCATTTGTTATTCTGGTTTAGATCACTGTAATTCATACTAAAAATTTAATTACTCTCTAAAAGTTCTAGCTAAGTAATGAGAGCTAGTCTCTGATGTAGTCATTAAGAGTTCAAGGTGTAGATTGCAACAGATGTGGATAGAAGATCAGCTCTGCCACTTAATATCGTGTAACCTTGGGCATCATTTTCTATTATGCTTAGTTTTCAAGATTGTTATGAAAATGAAATTACAGAATGCACAAGAAACGCTTGACACAACAGCTGGCACACAGTAAATGATCAATAATTATTATCACATTATTTCAGATTCAAATCTATGTTCTACATTTCCTAGTAAATTTCAGGCTCTTGGTGATTCTTATTCTGTAAATAGAGCAGTGATCATTTAGAGTATGAACAGAGTAGTTCTGTTGTGCCTTGGCATAAAAAAGACAAAAGATGTTTAAAATCCTCTTAGTTTCAATCTGTACTAGTTACCTGGGAGAAATATTTGAAATAAAAACTGCCAATTCAAGAGAACTCTGAAGCTTTGGAATTACCTGGGCTTAGAAGCTATTCTTTTCCTTCTCCAAATTGGGGAGGGGACGGTCATGAGTCACAGAACATCACAGCACCAGAAGCCATAAGTGCCATCTTAACCACTCAGTGTAGCCATAGTTAAAAGTAGACTGGTACAGTGGTGTTAGGCAGTCTGGGTGCATCAAAAGACCACAGATTGCAAAAGCTCCCCCTCGGATTCATCACAGTGCTTTTGCCATTTAGAGTTTTTGAATATATATGTTTTTTTTTCTAAATACTTTTTTTAGTTGTAAATGGACAAAAATACCTTTATTTTATTTTATTTATTTATCTTTATGTGGTGCAGAGGATCGAACCCAGTGCCTCACACATGCAAGACAAGCACTCTACCACTGCCCCACAACCCCAGCCAAGAGTTTTCGTATATTTTTCAAGGCTTCTAATTTTTAAGTTAATAAAGACACTACAGAAGAGTCAAAAAATTTCAGAGTTGAATGTGCAACTCAAGGACAAGTCATCTAATCTTTTCATTTTGACAAATGATGAAACTGAGGCCCAAAGATGATAAGTAATTTGCTCAACATCACACAGTGGCAGTGATCAGTGCCCAGCTCCCTCAGATTACAGTTTCTTCTCATTGTCCCCAGAAGGAGCAAGCTTAATGTAACAGCTTTAATGTAAAACTTCCAATATGCTTTATTGGAAGAGAGACACTAGAATGCTTTGCCTATAACTGCTGGATATAACATTTCAGATGTGTGAAGAAAGGTATCTTATAGATAGTATGGTAGGCAGCAATGTTACCAGATAAACTCCCTTTAGTCAGTAAGTCACCACTTTGTTAGGGCAATGACAACTGATGCGTGCAATGATGACTAAGCTACCCTAGAGCCCAAAGTACTTTCTAAAACATCAATGAAAGCTGTAATCTTGTCCTACACGGTTCAAGAATAAATTATTATGCTTTAGCTTTCTTTTGAGAATTGGCAATCTATGCAAGGTACATGAAATAATTTTTGATTAAACAAATGGAATCCCAAACTCAGAGTGCCTTACTTCCTGCTGAAGCTCCAGATACAAAATGTCCATACTGTTCTATAGTAACTTTTAATTTTAAATTGTCTTTAGATTTTTAGGAGTTGTTTTATAACTTTTTCCCTGAGTAAATAAATGAAGAAAACAGTCTTTTTCCTTGAATAAATAAATGGTAAACAGTATAGAATAGCATGACAACTTGAAAAAGAAGCAACACCAAAGGAATTATATCCTGTGACTTCAAAATTTGCTGTAAAGCTCTAGAAATGATATTGGCATTATCCCCAATAGAATCATCGTGTCAGAATATGGCGCTCACACATATATAGTACAAAGGTAATTTAGTGCAGATATGCTAATTCTCAGCAAATGGTGTGGAAATAATTAGATATCTGTATGCAAAAAAAGACCTTATTCCACACCTCAGAAGATGTGTAGAAATTAACTCAAAAGTGAATGGTATACCTAAAGTAAAAATCCTAAAATTATAAAACTTCTAGGAGAAAATATTTGTAATCTGGATTTAGACAAAGATTTCTTATATACAACACCAAACCAAACACAATCTATAAAAGAGAACGAAAACAACCCAACAATGACCAAAAGATCAAAGATAAATTAGACTTTAACATTAGGAACTTCTTAAAAGATGCAGATAAGATCATGAAAAGATAAGCCACCAACTGGGAGAAAATATCTGAAAATAAATTAAAGCTATTAAAAAACAAATTAGATAATGACATAGCAAGACTTATATATTAAGCATCTTTCATAAGAAAATAATCAGAGAAACCAACCAGTCAGTAATGGGAAGAATGAACTTCACACAGACCTATGGAAAGAACCTGTCTTGGAGGGAAATAATTTGGATTTGAACTTTGGCTGTCTCAGGCCAGTTGCTGGAACATGGGGGAATTTATTTAAATTTGTGGAGCCCCTTGTGTCTGGAAGTACTGCTTTAATGAATAAGATAAAATGTAGGAAAGCACTTAACACCACATCTAGCACATGGTGGATTCTCAAAATTGTTAGCTGCTTCTGTGGCAATGAAATTCTGATATCTAAAATTGTCCTATGTAAGACAATGTTCTCTTAGATTGAAAAGTCTTGTTCTCGAATTTGTTTCTTAAACTAGGCCAGTCTGGGGGCCAACAGGGAGCGCACTGCCCCAGAATTAGCCAAAGCAGAAGCAGAAGTGAGCTGGCTTTTTCCTTTGAAAAGCCTTATACTACCTTGATAAGGTCTGAGAGGTTCAACTAAAACAGAGATTTTTAAAAAACTGTTATTGAAACTTGAACTTTAGGAAAATTCACATTCATGAAGAACTGGAAAGATAAGTCACCAACTGGGAGAAAATATCTGTTCAAGGAGGCCCATGGGAAAGAAGAGGGAAAAAGTCTTCCAAATATTTGATGCTTTCAATACATGCCCTTGTATTAAAACTTATCACAGGGGCAGGGGCTGTGGCTCCTTGGTAGAGCACTTGCCTTGCACATGTGAGGTACTGGGTTCAATCTCAGCACCACATAAAAATAAATAAACAAAATAAAGGTATTGTGTCACTCTACAACTAAAAGAAATATATAAAAAAAAATTAAAAAAAAAAACTTACCCCAAGATGTAAGGCATTATTGTTTTACTTGAGTGGCAATCAGTGCTCTTTGGTTTGGAACAGGAACATTAAAGAACTAAATAAGACATTGTCTTGAATAAGACATTCAAGAACTAGAACGTCTTAAAATAGAACAGGAAGAATCTTAAAAAAAAAGAAACTTACAAAAAATTAGAAGTCCAATATACCAGTGGGACCTAAAATGAGATTAAAAATCTCAGTCTGATTTTAAGGTAGGATTTTTTTTTTTTTTTACTGTAGTCTTCATTAATTACGTTTTGCTTCATTAGAGGGCTTCCTTGACTTTAGAGTCCTTTTCTAGGATCCATTCAGACTGGGATTACTAAAACATAGATTTGAATAGGGAAATAGAAACACAGAAGAGAAGGAAACTTAAGAATCAGTCCCACTTCATAGATAAGAAAATCAAAGCCTTGGAGAGGTTAAGTACATGGCCCAAGGCCACACATGGTACAGTGGGACAATCTGACACTTGACTCCTGGGTGCTAAGTCAGTTGCCAGCTCAGATACAGTCAGAATAGTCCCCCCACTGCCTGTTGGGGAGAGAAGCCTGTAATAGGGGTCATGTGGTGAGGGTCTCCTTCCCTTTCTAGTGTATCAAATGTTAGCTCCCTCCCTTTCCCCTGGATTCAACACATGGCTCTCAGCAATTACTGTAAGCACACATTGGCACAGGGGCAAAACAACACCAGAATGTTAAGAGAATTGCAATCTCACTTGATCCTCCTGGAGAGCAGCAGTGAATCACAATTCAGCCCTCGGAGCTGCTCAGATCATCATCTCAGCCTCCATCTTAATGACCTCAAAGAGAACTGGCCTTGGCAGTCATGCAAGAAGAAAGGTGCTGGAAGTCCAGGAGGAAGGCCCTGCCTGACCCAGAGGTGATCAGACTACAGCCCCTGGGG